TATCAGAGATATTATGTTTTTAAACCAAAATTAGTACTTGGATGTTACCTCTACATATTTCCTACTCTTATAGAGTTCATATTCACCCTCAATACCCACTTCACTTCCCTTTTAGATCCTTCTTCTTGGTTTAATATTTGATTCTAAGTAGCCCAAAACTCCTAATACATGATTTCATAACATATCTTCTTTTACTCCAAGGCAACTTTGGCGGCTATTTTGGTTGACTCTCACTTCAAGAGATCAAGTCTGAACAATATCTAGAACTAGTGCTATTTAAGTTCTATTTCACAGCATTATTGAAAGTTTTTGCTACCTCTCTACTTGGATTCTTCTAAACAGGTTTTCAGTTATCCTGACTTTCTAGAATTTACATGGTATTGACTTGTCTTGAGTTTGTATCTAATTATTACCAGAATGCATTCCTCTGCATAATCTGTATACAAATGCAGAGCCTATACTCTACCACTTTGCAATAGCTTATTTCCCATTCTAGATAGTATTATCTAAGATTACAGATTATAGATTTAGGCTATTTTTAAAATAGTTATTAACTATAATATATCCCAATATTCAAAAATATCATTTGTAGAATTCGAACACTAAACCTGCCACTTGGTGGGGTGACAACTAAACTATTTTACTAAGTTGTCACACTCTTTAGTTTATTTTAAATATTTAAAAAAAATAATAAATCTTCTAGTTACAAATTGGCTTACTAATAGATATTTAGTAAGTACTTTAATGTTTTACTAAAAAGTTTTATATTTGCTTTTGGCTTACTTTAAATAATTAAAATAATAATAAATCTTCTAGCTACAAATCAGGTTACTTATAGATATTTGGTCACTAATACTTCAGATGAACTACTTAAATTAGATATCAAAAAAAATATATATAGCTTGATATACACTTATTGTAATTATAAATAAACATTATCTATAATCTAATAAAAAAGTTTCTTAGGCCAATGAGCTCATTTTAATATTAAAAAAATATATATATTAATTATGTAGAGTTTTTGTCTTAAAAATAACTTTATAGTACATGATGCTGTGAAGTTATTTTCAAGGCAAAGAACCCATATAATAGTAGTAATTATTACTTTAAATGATTTTAATTATATTTTTTTTATATCTTTATTTTGGTTTTTTATTTTTTTATAGTTTTATATTTTGTATTTTTTTATTTTTTTTACTTTTTCTATTTTTTATTTTTTTTATTTTTTAATTTTTTTTAATTTTTTAGTTTTTATTTTTTTTGTATTTTTTTTTTTTTTTAATATAAATTATTTTTTTTAAACCAAATCATCTTTTTTTCAATATAAATCATTTTTTTATGCCTAACCTTTTACAGACGAGATCGATGGTTCGATTCTTGCTAGTAGTAATTAATTTAATTAATTATCTTTGTAATCTTCAAAAACTTTTGAATATGAAACCCTGTAGATATAATATACATATTTGGCCAATGGTAAAAGAAGCGGTAAACATAGTAAGAGGATATAATAAGAAAATAGCTTTACCAAATATATATAAAGAAACAAGAAAAACTGGCTAAAAGAAACTCTGAAAAGCATGAAAGCAAGCACTCTAGTGGTACAAAAATAAAGACAGCTAGTAAGTAATATGTCACACAACTTATATAGAAGTCAATGACAAAATATAGCAGAAGTACAGGTCTTAGGTTACTGGCTTGTAACAGTAATTAAATTAGATACTAACTCCTGTTCTAAAGATCTAAACTTCTGTAACACTATATCAATAGAGAGTACATAAAAGGAGTGGTAGCCTAATTTGGTAATGTACGACATGAATATCTAGATCAATGTGAAATAACTCTCCTAATGGTAGCAGTAGGTGGTTTGAGATATAGGTCTTATGATGACGGCAGTATCTGAGATACGGATTAGAATTTAAAGTAACTCTTTTAGAAACACCAAACTGAAAGAATAAAAAGTGCTCACTCAAGAGACACCAATTTGGAAGTAATACAAGAACCAAATTAGAAGTAATGTAATAAGTGATGAGGAGTAGAAGTTGGTTAGTAGTCATTGTACAGTAGTATATAAGTAGGATATATATGATATAATAGGTTTGAAAACTATCTGATAATTTAAGGAGGTAAAATCTTATATAGCAGATTACACATAGATACTTAAATTAGTAACCGAGTAAGCTAATATATGTAATATATATTAGATAGTTGTAAATATATTCGTGACATTTGTAACCAAAAATACCTTAGCATAAATCTAATAAACAGTATTGGCAAGACTGCCAAATTAAAAAAAAAAAAAATTATTTTTTTAATATAAATTATTTTTTTAAATATAAATTATCTTGATTATTAAAATAAGTTTTGTAATAAATTGAAATTGTACTATCTAATTAGCTTTAATGAAAAATAAATACAAAATATTATTAAAAAATAGATTTGAGGTAGAGTTAATAAAAAAGAGACAAATCATTTTTAGTAAATTTTTTTAATTTTTAAATTAATAGATAGAATTTAGACCTTTGTACTACTAGCAGTACTTTTATTAAAGGCTCTAAAAAATTCAAAAAAAATATTTTTTAAAAACTTTATATATCAAAAAATCTGATAAATATTATAATATTGTAAAAAATTAATTTATTTTAAGAAATATAATCAAAATAACCTATGGTGATTATCACTACCCCTAGTTATTTTTAAAGTTAGGGTTAGAAATTAGAGAATTATTTTTTTTTATAATATAATATAGAGCTACTATAAAAGCTTGATAGAGTCTAATTTTAGTTTTTGTGAGATTTTTGGGAGTTCTGAATATTTTTACTTTGAAAACTCGATCCTATTTAATTAGTACGTTTTTGAGATATAGGCACCCTGGTAATAATCACCACTAGTTATAGTTAGATTTATTCTTATTTTAATATTATTAAATAAGATTGTTAAAAAATAAAATAGAACATATTCCTTATACAATAAAGGCAGGATTGCCAAATTAAAAAAAATAAAATAAAATAAAATAGAGATATGGTAACTTAGTGTAGTGGTCTAGTTGTCACCCTCTCCAAGTAGCAGGTCTAGAGTTCAGATCCTACAGACGACGATATTTGAAAAATAGGCTTGTGTTCGGTTGATAGCTATACATATCGGTTGAATCTAATCTGTAACTTCGGTCACACCATCTAGTAATGGGAGCAATGGTGCAATAAATCCGAGAAACTGGCATAACTGAAAACCCATTTGGGAAGTCTGAGTTAGAAGTAATAGTAATCTTTGATAGTATTACAAGAGAGCTGAATTCAAACCAGGACCAGAGATCAGAAAACCAAACGACCAGATCTTAATAGTGGAGAACACACTAGCCAAACCGCTAGGTTCTGTTGCATCAGAGGAAAAGGACATACACTCTGAAAGTATGTACCAAGGGGAGGGCATCCTTCAGGTATCTAAAGCCTAGGCAGACCAACCCTTCTGAGTTGCTGGCTAGAAATAAGGGAGGGACCGATAAAGAAACCAGGTAAGAAGATAATCCAAATGCAAGTATCAGAGTTGTTGTAAACCTAATAAGAGTATTGATTAGTACCGTAAGTCAAATCAGGCTATGTAGTAATGTAATAAATATTTACTACAAAAGTAGTAATTGTAATAATATTTACTACATGTAGTAATCATTACTACATGTAGTAATTTTTATTATATGTAGTAATTATTACTACGTGTAATTATTATTATTACATGTAGTAATTATTACTACATATAGTAATTATTATATATGTAATAATTATTATTACATATAGTAATTATTACTATATGTAGGGGTCGTTTAAAGCCTGGCGCCTCACGAAATCACCTGAAGCACAGGAAATCACATAACACGGGTTAGCTCGGCTTTTTGTAGAATCTACTTAACGCGACAATTATTCTCGGTTTAATTATGGTTCTATACGATTTTTTTTTGAAGTTTATTATTATTTTTTTTTTACCGGTTTTCTCATCAGGCTTTTTTTTTTTTCCTTCTAATATTTGAAGTTTATGTTTGTCAGATCTAGATTTCAAGCACATGCTTTTGCGGTTTGATAAGTTTCACTTTTTTTTTCATAAGTTATGTTTAATCTCATTTCAACAAGAGCAACTTACCTTTTTTCTTAGATCTAGGATTTGAACTTGGGCAGAACAAAAATTGATAAGTATTCTTTATATCAGAATGCAAAAGTGGACCGGTGATGGTTTTGAATTTTTGGCAGAAAATAGGAACTATGGCCGAAGATAAGTGCTAATTTTTCCTTTGTTTTTATTCATTTATTTCTTTTGGCAGATACTATATCTACTTTTTTTTTGTAGGCTTTGACCTTATTATAATTGAAAAAAACCGGCAATAGGGTTTTAAACTTTGGCAGATACTAATTCACACTAGTCAAAGAAATTTGAACTCGGTTCGGAATTGAGAATAGAACTGAAGATAAGTGCTAATTTTTTTTTTTTTTGTTTTCTGTTAATTTTTTTTAAGCATGTACTAATGTTTTTTTGCATCTAGTTCTGTAGTTGAAACATAGAATCGCATTAAGTTCTGGAAATGGTTTTTTTTTTTTTGCTTAATTACTGTGACAAATACTTTATATCAATGTAGTTATTATGATGTATAATTTCGTGTTGGAATGAATAAAGTTATATGTCGAATTAAAACTAGCATCAGATTAAATAATTATGATACCACTAATACCTGTTGCCGTTCACTTCACCGATAATTCATTTAGCTGACATCACATAGGGTTAGGGTTAGCATTTTATTAGTTGTAGATATATATTTTTAATAAATTGTTACTTGACGTAATGTCGGCTAAATGAGCTATTGGTGATCCGTACCTACCCTTACCCTAACATGAATTTTCACCCTAACCTTAGCGAAACCCAGTAATATTAAATCTTGATCAATGCAATTTTAATTATGTAATATTTTTAATATATTTTAATAAAAGGTTATTCATTATATTATTTATTTAAAATATGATTTAAAGAATTTCTTAAATCATCAATAAATTCTGATTTTTCTAGTGGGCTTCCTTCATCCTCCATTCTCCAGTACGCACTTCGGGTTCTTTCTATTAATTCATTGACAATCAAACGCCTATTTTCAGCAGCCTTTTCAACTTCAGTTTTTTTAGGCAATTCTATTTTCACTAATTTACGACGTTCGTATATTTCGAAACCATTGTCTGCAAACATATTTTGAAATTGCTCCCACACATTTAAAGTTAATATTTGTTTATCACCATATACATGTTCATGAAACATATGTCAGCAAGGAAGTAAGTACCGATAAAAGAACAAGCAGAAACAACTAGGCGAAGTTAAACCGGGTGATTTTTTACTTTTTTCAACCCTTTTTTCAATGGCACAAGCTTCATTGACGATTAACTTTTGGATTAGAAATGAGAAATTATGAATTTGACCAAGAATCTCATCATCAATACCAACAACCGAAATCTGCTTAATTCTAAATTCGAATGCCACATGTTCTGCGTCAGTACGTTTTTTTATATCCAGGGCGACGGTTTTATGATACGCGCCTAATATAAATAGAATAATGCTTTAAAAAAGTTTTTTTTCTTTTTTTTTTTGTGTCAATAACATTTAATAAAAAAATAAAATTTTTACAACAAAATTTTTTTTTTACAAACATTATTTCGGTTAAAGAAAAAAAAAAAACTTTTTTTTAAAAAAAAAAAAAAAAATCGGGCCACCAGCCTAAATAAAAACATGGTTTTCGCTAAAAAAAAAATTAAAATAAAATTTTTACATATTTTTTTTTTTACAGTTAAAAAAAAAAAAATCGGGCCACCAGACTAAATAAAAACACGATTTTCATGTTATATCTATTAAACCATAGCTCGATATCGTCATCTTTTTTAATTCGCTATGGTATGATTCCAGGGCATTCGTTGAAGTCACTTGTAATAAAAGTGGTAAATGCTGTCGAGCCCATAAAGCCCATTGATTTGAACTTTTCTGATAATTTCGTTTAATATAATTTTTTACACCAGCAACTTGACACGAATCAATTGCCTCTTTAATAAGCTCGTCACATCTAATTTTTGTAGTTTTATGCATTGCTTGGATCATTTTTCCTCGGGCCTTTGTTTTATATATTTTATTCATCCATACCTGTATTACGTGAACCATGCAAAAATTACGGCACATTCTTACTTACCACCCCGGAGATCAGGAAATGCTTTCGTAACACTATTGGCCTCAACATGGCTTTGGTCAGCAATGATATATCGTGGTTTCCAATGACTTCCAAATCTTTTTATTATTTTTAAAGCATCCGAGACCGTGTCACTATCTTCTTTCTCAACAAAAAAGTCGGCACTAATGTCCCAACAACCATACGTATCCCGAACATACAAAGTAAAAAGGCAGCAATCATACTTGTTGGTTTTATGGGTCGAATCAATAAGGGTTAACCACCTATATCGTTCGAGTTTGATAAGTTGAAGGGAATGTATGAAAACAAGACCATAAGTAGCCCAACTAGGGGTTACGTAATATTCAACATGATAACCCTGGTTTTTCAAAAAAAGAATGCTTTCTTCTATATCATTTTTTTTATTTTTATTACCCCCTAAATTATTATTTTGCACCTCACAAACTTTGTATTTAATGTTTGTAACCTCGGTACGTTTTAGCTCTTTAATACTTGAGCTCAGATCCAACGCCCTAGTTGCATATTCTTTAACCGCATTCGTGATAGCAGGTGGTGGATAGTCTTTGGCCACTTCTTCTTCAACCAATTTACGTACCGCTTCCAAGCGCTTTAGCTTTTCACTTTCATCAAATGTATGTGTATGATTAAGACTTTCGTTATATCGTTCTACTTGCACTTTTTGTGCACTAACAAAACGTAACACCCGGATTTTCACAGAGCAGAGATTAGGTGGGCGGACCTTCGTTTTTCGACGCTTTTCAACAGGAATTCCTTTCTTTCGACTACTTGAATTATTATGCTTCATTAATCGGCATGCAAATGCCTTCCAAGAATTACCATTGGTGTAGTTTTTATAGCTGAACCTTGTCCACACATTTGTAACAAGCAGCCACCATTCGCGATCGAATTCATCCATTGATACTTCAAATGGTTCGCCAACATTAAAGAGTAGCACACGCCTTTGATCAGGAGTTGTGGATTGTGACGTATAAACTTTGAGCCTTTCATGTGCTGTGAGTGCTTCACCTGTCACAGATATTACTTGTATCTCGTTTTCTTCTTCACTATTCTCCAATACAACCACTTCATTTTCTTCAAAAACAGTCCTTTCATTTCCCACCAAAATTTCTTTACCTTCATCAATTTCAATTTCTTCAAATACGTTCCCTTCTCTTTTAGCAAAGTTACCTGCCATATTAGAAAAAAAAAAAAAAAAACTATATATATTATATATATATAAAAAAAAAAAAAAAAAAAAAAAAAGGTCCGTAAGACACAATAATTCGTATAGACTATTTTATTGTGCAACCCACAACTACAAAACTACAGCACTACAGTATGAATATACTTTCAAAAAACACTGCTTATCATATAGCGTATCAGTAATGATAATAAGACAAGTCTTACACAACCACAAGAGAAAAGAGTATTTGAAAAAAAAATAAAAAAGAAAGGATCTTGTTAAATATCATGTGATTGACGGTCTGCATATCAACCAATAAAATTAATTATTTTTATTAATCTTTTTTATTATCATTATTATTTTTTATTGTTATTTTTTTTTTATTAATTAATTAATTTATCGTATTCTTTTTTTAAATACAATCGTTACATCGTCAAATCGCGCAACTATATATATTCCTAAAACTTCATTGCGCAATGAATCTCTTATATATAACGAATGTTATTATATAGCAATAACTAAGTTTACTGTAATCTCTAAATAAAATACTCTAACTATTCTAATCTCTAATTCTAACCTTACCCTAGCATTATATACTACCCTAACCTTAAAACCTCAGCGATCTCCAATGTAAAAACAACCAGGGACGTCCTATAAAATGCATCATCAACAATGTAGAAAGCTATCATAGAACACCACAAAATGCCATAGAACATGCTCCAAAAGGTCATAGAAAACTATCCTGAAATACCGTAGAAACCCACCAATGCATATCGTAGTGAACCCACTGCAAAACTATATAGAAAGAATTTTAAAAAAAAATATTAGCATTAGTCTATTAAATGGGAAAACTATTCTCAATCGTCCGACTTCAATGAAACCGAGGCCTACAAAAAAAGAATACATTAATTTTCATTGGAAAAGAAAAAAGAATAATGTAGCAACAATATTACACAACAACAATATTACACACTGACAACGAAAGCAAAAACACCAGAAAGTGACAACAAAACCACAAACGATGGTCCCCCAAAAAAGGTAACACTATCAAGCGAACTATAGTTCTAATAAATGACAACTTCAACAAATAACAATGCTTCAACAAACAACAATGTCAAATGTCGGCTCCAATAAATGACGACACCACGAATGATGGCTTCAATAAACAACGAAACGAATGACGACCCCAACAAGCACGACACCACGAATGATGACTCCAATAAGCAACGACGTCACAGACAATAGCACCAACAAGCAACGATTCCATGAATGACGGCTTCAACAAGGACTACAAAACTAAAAAATAAAAAAACTAATTAGTGAAAAAATTCAATGCGCAACTTGCTACGATTATCAAAATTCAAAAAAGCCCCCAAAAAAAGTTAATTTAGATTCTACTAAAATCCAAAAAAAAATCGGGATCCCTGTGTCTCCCATGATTTCCCGTGCTTCGGGTGATTTCGTGAGGTGCCAGGCTTTAAACGACCCCTAATTTAGGAGGTGGTACAAGGACATCTACAGTATTAATCTAAGTATTCAAAATAAACTATTTAAGTTCGTAAATATTTACTATTTGATTTTATTTTATCTGCGTTAATTTAGTGCGTGAGTATAAAGAACATTTCTCAATCTAAGTATTTAAAATGTGCTATTCAATTTTATGAAGAGTGACGCAACCACGTGATGCTAATTGTCACATGCTATTACTTATAAAAAATCAACAATCTATTTTGATTTTTTATAAGAAATAGCATGTGACAATTAGCATCACGTGGTTGCGTCACCCATCATTAATTCAATTTCACGAATATTTACTATTTAATTTTATTTTATTCGCGTTAATTTAGCGCGTGAGTATAAAGGGCCTTTATTAATCTAAGGATTTAAAATAAGCTATTCAATTCATGAATATTTACTATTTAATTATTTCTAGATTGTGAGTATAAAAACATTTATTAATATAGATATTTAAATAAGCTATTCAAGTCCATGAACGTTTACTATATAATTTTATTTATTCGCGTTAATTTAGTCTGTGAGCATAAAGAACATTTATTAACCTCAAGTATTTAAAATAAGCTATCCAAGCTCATTAATGCTTATTTAATTTTATTTTATCCGCGTTAATTTAGGAGGTGAGTATAAGAACATTTATTAACCAAATATTTAAATAAACTATCCAAGTTCATTAATACTTATTTAATTTTATTTTAATCCGCGTTAATTTAGTTTGTGAGTATTAAAAACATTTATTAATCAAAGTATTTAAAATAAGCTATTCAATTCATGAATATTTACTATTTAATTTTATTTTATTCGCGCTAATTTTAGCAAGTGAGTATAAAGAACATTCATTAACCTTAAATACTTAAATAAGTTATTTAAGTTCATGTATATTTATTATTTAATTTTATTTAATCGCATTAATTAGTTAGTGAGTATAAAGAACATTTTTTAACCCAAGTATTTAAAATATGCTATTCAAGTTCATATTTACTATTTAATTTATTTTATTCACGTTAATTTAGTTTGTAAGTATAAAGAACAATTATTGATCTAAGTATCTAAAATAAGCTATTTATGTTCATGTATGTTTATTTAGAATGTGAGTATAAAGAACATTTATTAATCCAGGTATTTAAAATAAGCTATTCAAGTTTATGAATATTTATTATTTTACTTGCCTTAATTTAGGGAGTGAGTATAAAGAACATTTATTAATTAAAGTAGTTAAAATAAGCTATTCAAGTCCATGAATATTTACTATTAATCATATCGGGTGATTTTTAGAATACCCTAAAAATTTTGGGGTTCAAATAATATATATAATGATCTGCATATATATATATTTTTTTCGCTTCTTATTTTTTTATTTATTACTTCGCTTATTTTTTTTTATTTTTCTTTTATTTATTTTTATTTTTTTCCTTTTTTTTTTCGCTTATTTTTTTTTTATTTTCTTTATTTATTTTTATTTCTTTATTTATTTTTGGATCGTCCCCTGGATCTAGATCTAAATCTTTGCCGACCGGGATCTGTAAGATAAGTGTCTTTTTTTTTTCTGTTTTTTTTTTTATTTTTTTTTATTTATATATTTTATATCTTTAGCTTGAACTTCTGTAGGTTTATTCGTTAGAACGCCAGGAAGTGGAGATTACAGCTGGGATCTGTAAGATTAGGGATTGGCCCGGGTATTTTAATAATACCCGGGCAGGGATTTTCTCGACGTGACCAATCTCTATATAAGATAAGTAGCTTTTTTCTTTTTCTGTTTTTTTTTTATTCTTGGCTTAAGTTAAATCTCTTTTCTTTCGTAGGTTGGCTTTGCTAGAATGCCGAGTATTGGAGATTCGAACCGGAATCTTGTAAGATACGTAGTAAATAGTTTTTCGTTGTTTGTCTTTTTTTTTTTTTCCTGACTTACTAATATATTTTTTTCATATACTGTATTAGCCTTGCTAGAATACCGGGTAGCATAGCCACACCTTCGCTGCTTGAGTCATTACGGTCGTTGGAGTCGTTTTTTGGTTTTCGTCAGTGGAAATTTAGGCTTTCGTCGTTTCGTAGCATCTCTAGTGAAAGTTCAGCCTTCGTCGTTTTTGGTGTTATTGTGCTTTTGCTGTGATTTAATTTCAGCTTCGTTACTATTGGAATCAGGTATATGAGTATATGGGTATATGTCATCGCGGCCGTGAAAGTTGAATGTCGTTGGTGGCTTCGTTATGTCGTGTTTGATGTGTTTGGAATGTTTATTACAAGGCGTTTTTTAGGCTCTCAGTGTTAGTTGTTAGAATTAGGGTTAGTTAGTGTTTTTTTTTTTAATAAATAAAGAATTTTTTGTCATGCAAGTTCTTTTTTTGATAAAAATTTGGATCCGTATGAGCTAATTTTTTCGCGGGATCCGATCAGAGTTAATTGTGCCTAAAAATTATACTAAATCTGGTGCAGTTAAACATATTTTCGATCCATTAAAGTACGTTTTTCCCTTTGACGAATAAACGGTTTAATATTTGATCAAAGATTTCACAAGCGAGAAAGTTGTATATTCCATATTAATGAAAAAATAAAAAAGATTTATTTAAAATTAAATATTCAAAAGCTTTACTCATTTATTTATTTTTTTTTATACAAATTAATATAATATAATGTAATACGCATAGTATAATAATAGTTTAATAAATAGAAAATAGACAAAGTAATAATAACAAAACCCCGTCGTGTCCAGTATCTAGTTTAGACACAATAACCTAGAATTAAAATATGTGGCGCAAACCCAAATTAAATATGTATTTTGAAACCCAAGCTAAATGTGTATCGCGAAACCCAAGTAAATACATATACCATGAAACTCATGCTAAATATATATTGCTAAATACCAAATTGCTAATACTAAATATATGTCAAAATACATTATAAAGCCCAAACTAAATATATGTCGCAAGATCTAAACAAAACTAAATATGTGCCGCAAGATCTAAACAAAAGCTAAGTGCGCATTGTGAGATCTAAACAAACTAAAAAGTTAAACTTTGTAAAGTTTAAATTTTTAAAAAACTTAAAAAACAATTTTTAATTTAAAATTAACTTCTCTTACTTTTTATTAAATTTGATTCTTTCTAAAAAAACTCATGGGTTTTGAGGTAGGCTCATGGGTTTTATTATATTCTCTAGAAGAGACAACGAATTTGACATGTGATTTTGGGGTATGTTTTTTATTTACATCCAATCAACATGTGACTTTTTGCAGATCATTGAATATTTTGGGGACTAATTTAAGGTCCAATTCCATAAATCGACCGATATGTTTATTTTATCTGTGTTAATTAGTCGGTGAGTATAAAAATTATTTGCTTTCAAATTTAAGAGTACATGATAACTAATATAATACAATCAATAATTATAAAATTATAAAGAGAATCATATTATGGAAAATGTGCATATTGTAATGAATATAACACGCATTCTGCATGGTTTCAGACATGCGATCCAGATATAACGATTCAAGAATGGACAAGTGGAAATAAGGATATTGATAATTGCATGAAAGGGCTTCAACTTAGAACTACTGATTATCAATATATGATTGAATGGATTCCATTTGATAGACTAAATAATATTAAAAAAATTGGCGAAAGAGGGTTTAGCTCTGTATTTTCTGCGACCTGGTTAGATGGTATACGAAAGATTAAATATGATGATAACGATGATAACAATGAATATATAAGATTGCGTAAACCATTTAGCACCGTTGCACTCAAGACCTTATCTAGTTCCAAGAAAAGTCCTAATGATTTTTTGAAAGAGGTAAGTTAAATAATTGTACTACTTATTAAACACATATTGAATTAATTCATTTCTATAAATTTGCAAAGTTTGACAATCATATAATGTAGATTATACAGTAATAATCTTAGGATATTAACTCAAAACACGGAAACAAATGAATACTTAATGGTATTTCAATATGCCGATAATGGATATCTTCATAAGTTTTTAAGATTGAAATTTCGAGATTTTACCTGGCAAATTAAATTAAAATTACTTATGGATATTTCAGATGATTTATATCAAATTCATAAAACAGGATATATTCATGCAGATTTTCACAGTGGTAATATTTTGCAAAATGAAGAACATGAAGGCATTAGTAAAATTATGCAATCTTATATATCAGATCTAGGAATGTCTAAAAAAACAAATAAAAATGACTCAGAAGGTGGTATTTATGGAGTCTTGCCTTATGTCACTTCAGAGGTTTTATTAGAACAGAAGTTTACATCAGCTGCAGATATTTATGGCTTCGGAGTTATTATGTTAGAGATGTCAACTGGACAAAGACCTTTTGATAGTCGCCCATTTGATCTTAGTCTTTCATTAGATATATGCAAAGGTAGGGATGTTAAAAGTTCGGTTCGGTTCAACTCGACTCCATGAGTCAAGTTTTTAATCTAGACTCGGTTCCGAGTCTGACTTGAACCGAGTTCTAATAGTCACATGCAATATTAGATATCATGGGACTATGATAATAATGATAGATAATTGATAACAGATAACTTTATTTTATTAAAATATACTGAAATATAATAGATAATTCATATTCTATAATAATTTTTGTCTATTCTAAAATTCCTGCTTCTAACCAATTTTTTAAAAATAATGAAGCTTTAACTGTTTGCTTTAGTGGGCAGTTTCTTGTAGGCCTAATAATTTCCTTTGCCGTGGACAATGCATTCTCAGAAAAATGCTAGTAGTTTGTAGGGAAAAAAA